GTAGATTTGGGGGAGGGCCATAACTAGCATCTTTAAAAAGTCCAGTAACAAAAGTTCGAGATCCCAACACGAAAACTGCGAGTGTACCGCACCGCTAAACGCGGGAGAACATACGAGAGAAAAAAATTTACACGGGCGAGAATCTCTAACTGAAGCACGGTCCAAATCGATAGACTTCCACAAGTGAAATTCACGTGTGTAGATTTGAGGGAGGGCCAAAAGTAGCATCTTTAAAAAGTCAGGTAAGCATAGTTTGGGATCCCCACACAAAAAACCCGAGAGTGCCGCATCGCCAAACGCGCGAGAACACGCGAGAGAAAAGAAAATTGACATGGGCGAGAATCTCTAACCCAAGCACTGTCCAAGTTGATAGAGTTCCACAGGTAAAATACACGTGTGTAGATTTGGGGGAGGGCCAAAACTAGCATCCTTAAAAAGTCAGGTAGGCATAGTTAAGGCGCACGACACCAAAAACGCAAAGACGCGAGAGAAGAGAAAATAGGCCCTTTGCACGATTCGGTCACATGGTACAAAATCACACATGCTGGTGAGCAAGTTGCTCAGTGGGACTTCCAAAACAATGCCACTCGTACCAGTCCACCTGGAACTGCCTTTGTTTTGGAAGTCCCACTGCGGAACTTGCTCACCAGCATGTGTGATTTTGTACCAAGTGACCGGATCGTGCAAAGGGCCTATTGACATAGGGGAGAATCTCCAAACCAAGCACTGTTTAAATCGAGAGACTTCCACAAGTGAAATACACGTGTGTAAATTTAAGCGAGGGCCAAAACTACCATCTTGAAAAAGTCCGGAAAGCAAAGTTTGGGATCCCGACACCAAAAACACAAGTGTGTCGCATTGCTAAACGAGCGAAAATACGCGAGAAAAAAGAAAATATACATGGGCGAGGATCTCCAGCTCAAGCACTGTCCAAATCGATAGACTTCCACAAGTGAAATACACCTGTCTATATTTAAGGGAGGGCCAAAACTAGCATTTTTAAAGAGCCCAGTAAGCATAGTTTGGGATCCGCACACCAAAAACGCGAGTGTACCGCATCCCTAAACTAGCGAAAACATGCGAGAGAAAAAACTATAAACGGGCGAGAATCTCTAACCCAAGCATTCTTCAAAGCGACAGACTTCCGCAAGTGAAATACACGTAGATTTCAGGGAGGGCAAAATGTAGTTTCTTTAAAAAGTCCAGTAAGCATAGTTTGAGATCCCAACACCAAAACCGCGAGTGTGCCGCTTTTCTAAACGCCCGAGAACTTACGAGAGAAAAGAAAGTTGACATGGGCGAGAAGCTCTAACCCAAGCAATGTCCAGATCTATAGAGTTCCACGAGTGAAATACACGTATGTAGATTTGGGGGAG